CCTCCCATACAATTCTCGGCAATCTCTCCTCTCCCATCCCGCACATGCGATACTGCCATGTCAGCTTCCTTGCGTCTCTTCTCGACCGTAGGCATTGGATCCCCAGTTCTGCCCTGACGGCTGCATTACTTGTGCGCTCGGAGCATCCTAGGATGATTTTCGCTGCTTTCATCTGCGCCGCCTCGAGCTCTTTCACTACCTTCTTCTTTCCTTCTCATACTTCTCCGGCGTACTCTAGCGGCAGTATGATTACGCTCTTCAAAACCGTCAATTTGATGCATGTATCGAGGTGCCGGTTTGCGAGTATTGGGTGCAGCTTCCCTGCTCGTGCTTTGCCCTTTTCCGCTATACCTTGGACATGTGTGCATTCCACGAGCAGACTTTGGCGATATCTACTCCGAGGTATGTGTACTGGTCCACCACTGTAATCTCCTCGATCCCCCACTTCCATTTATATTCTACTGGTTCCTCCCTGTCCTCGTTGCATACCATGACGGCACTCTTCTTAACGTTGGCAGACAATCTCCACTGATCAGTAAACTTCGCCGCGTCAATTTGCAGTTGCAGTCCCTCAGGGGTGTCCGACATACCGACAAAATCATCCGCAAACAGCATTCCTGACACCGAAATTCCCGTGTCCCCTACTTTTACTCCCGTACGGACTGCGTCTGCGACTTCCAACAGATTGTTGATGAACATCTGTGGAACANGGGGGGGGGGGGGGGGGGGGGGGGGGGGGGGGGGGGGGGGGGGGGGGGGGGGGGGGGGGGGGGGGGGGGGGGGCGGGCGTCACCAGGCCAACTTTCTCGCAGCAGTAGAAATTCCCCCGTGCTCGTCATACGCACGAACACACTACACCAATGCAAGAAGACCCCCGCTGCTTTCGCCCTACAAAAACAACGACTTGTCTGCACAAGATCGCAACAAGCACAAAGTGATCAGTACCATGAACAACAGACTTGCCTGATCTAAGTCGCGGAACTCCCCGCGCTCCCCCCCGCCCCCATCGGGGCCCACGTCGAGGGGGTTAACGAAACCGGCGCCGAGCATCTCGACGATGTTGGGGTGCTGCAAGCGCTGCAGGATGTCTATCTCCGTCTCGAGGTCTTTCCGGGCGACCTCGGGCTGGGCGCAGTCGTCGCGGGGCATCTGGTTTTTGTTCCCGTCCGGAGGGACCCCAAGCGCATACCCGGCAGACAGGCATTCGAAACAGCAGAGACAGCGACACGCAGCAGCAGCAGCAGCAGCATGGTGATGTGGGAACATGGGGAGACATTGTATAAGAGTGCCGTAGCAGCTCGGTGCGTCTTGGAACCATGAGATAACACCTAGACTCGGCATGTTCTGAGACGCTGCTGCGAGCATGACGACTACCAGAATAGTGCTGATGCTGTTGCCGCAGCGGTTGTCTCACCACAAGAAAGTGACGGGGATGAGATTTTTTGTTTTCGGTTTTGTCGAGGTCTGAACACTATCCAGGTTCAAGTGCTGCCGTTGCCTTTGCCTGCCTGTCCGGCTGTGCCCAGATCGAACCTTGGTTGTGGGAACAAAGGTTGCACGCCGATTGAGCGTGTCGGCGAAAGGACCAGCCAATAGCCAACACCCAAACAAAACTAGAATGTACGTACTAACCTTGACCACGACGCGGCGGCCCCGCCACTCCGCCGTGTAGATGGAACACATGCCGCCGTTTGTGAGGTACTGCACATCTCGGAGCTCCTCGAAGTCGAGGTTAAGATCCACCTTCCAGGTAGAAGAAATACACAAAAAGAATTAGGCGCCTCGAGCTGTAAAATAATCGACAAGTGTAGTCGGTGTGTGTGTGTGAAGCGGTTGTAACCAGTACCAGAGCGTAGCGTCGACGTTGGCGGTGAACAGAAGCTCCAAGACGGAACACAGGCATCCTGGTACATGTCCCCGCTGTTGTATTTGATGCTGCTGCTGTGGCCGCCGCCTCTACGATGCCGTGGTTTGCTAGGGATGCACCTGAAACAAAAAAAAAGAGGCTTGGGGGGGTCTGCAAGCCACTAAACGATCGGCCGCCTAGAAGCCTAGAAGGGGGGTACTCCCTCCGCTTAGCCATGAATAGACGCGCCGAACCAGCGAGGATATCCACTACGCATCCACCGCATGTGCGGTGTTCCATGTAGTACGTACGTCTGACGGAGTCCTTTTACCATCTGCTGCATCGGCATAGAATCGCCACTCCATGATGAAATGCACTACCACCGTGCAGATGTAAACCAGCAAGCGCTGCCAAGCTGGCTGGTTTTTCAGTCGACTTGCAGATACACACGGTGGTTTGGGTACTAATTCGTACCCCCCCCACAGCAGTCAGTACTACAATAAGCTTAGCTGCAGGGTGAGTGACGGATCTTGCTGTCTCAACATTGAAAACCCCTGCAAGGTTAAGCTGGGTGAGGGATCGGGCTGTCTCGAACGGTGGATATCTACACTATGCCAAAATGCATCGAGCAGAAGAGCCGCCACAAGGGTCGAGTAGTACTGGCATGTATGCATTGCGCATGTACCTGATACATACAGCAGTATGCGTATATCATGCGACGTTGAAAATTTCGGGGTTCTTGTTCACGACCTGCAACCTAATCGATCAACACATTGAAGTCTCCAAACTATATGCCCCCCAATCACACTATTGCTGTATGCATATCACTGACAGGAAGTCGTCTCGCGTTTAGCTCCGTCGTGTATCGTGCAAGACTAAGCACTGTAGGCCTGTCGTACGAATTCGGAACATGTACTTTTGCGTATTCTGGGGTTGCGTTGTCCGTCAAGGGGGCGTGAACAGCACAGGTATATGGTAGATGCTGTAGGTCAAACGCAACCCGGAAGGCTGGGGATGTTGCCAAAAAATTGAACGTTGAAACCACAACATCGAACAGACAACGGATCACAGCTACTACAGCGTTTTCCGACAATAACATTAGGGCAACAAGAAACCGGATCTATGCGACCATGAGATGTTCAACGCGCCAAATCTTGTCCGCATGCCGGTCAACAACACTCATACCAGTACTAGTTATAGGGGGAAAGTAATGAGCCGCGTGGTTCGACTCAATACCTTGCAGTAGTCTTATCTGCGATGCTGATGGTGCACGAATCCCGACACACACCAGCGTGAATCGTGTGTGGTGCAGCTACGCGTGCACCACAGAGGGAGAGCAGGCGTGCGACGGGAGCGACGATGATTGTACGTGCGGCCACCGTTCAAAATTTTGCACTCTACATGCGGCTGTTTCTTTCCGTTGNACGAATCCCGACACACACCAGCGTGAATCGTGTGTGGTGCAGCTACGCGTGCACCACAGAGGGAGAGCAGGCGTGCGACGGGAGCGACGATGATTGTACGTGCGGCCACCGTTCAAAATTTTGCACTCTACATGCGGCTGTTTCTTTCCGTTGTGATGCACATGCACGAAGAAACAAATTGTGAAGTCTTCCCGCCGTGCGGAGGAAAACAACCACACACGTACGTACATCTGGGTATCTGGAAGAAGGTATCTGGAAGAAGCATACATGCGGCATCCCCCTGGCGGCGAGCGTATCACACATGACATCACACCGTCGAGGAACACGACCAGTAGCGTAGACATAGGATTGTGACACGACAGATGGCAAATATTGCGTCAGGCTCACAACTTGCCCGCCACATTCGTCTCAAGCCTTCCAAGTTTCCCGCCCGAGTGAGAGCAAGCAGTCCAGCATCAACCAAAAACAACAAAAAACCGTTGAGGGTCTNCAGACAGCAAGTATGCTGTAGTCGGCAATCATTCGTTTTGGTACAGAGTGGGACAGGTAGGGGGTGATGTTGCTGTAGTCGAACGGTGAGACGGACGTGTAGTTCAGTTTTGGGCACGCGTACGGTGCTGCAGGGATTATATATAGGTGTAGTTCGGGCGCTTGGATACCTTTTTCTTGCTACGTGTGCGTGTTCTTTAGATCCTCAGATGGCTCTAGCACTTTCGTGACCACGGGCTGAGAGCCTTTGCTAGATTTTGGCATTTAGCAACTGGCATACGGTTTAATGTGAAGTCAACAACAACAGTCAACAACAACATATGACGTCATGACTTTGATGCTAGAGGCCGAGAGGCCCTGCAGGGCTGCGGCAGCAACAACAGCATGCAGGGCACGGCTTTCTTTGCGAAGACAGTCAGTAGCGTGGCGCTAGTACGCAATCTGAACCGATCCCGCGGGGAACCATCCTGACAAAACACACAGCAGCAGCAGTAGTAGACCCTAACCCCCTCGACGGATTCTCTCGATGATGGCAGGTGTGATCTGGACTTGGGAAGGTGTGTTGATTGTGTGATCCATCGGTCTGCTCTTTTGAAGCAGTTGGTTGGACCCACTGAACATCAATAAACACCCGCCAGGTTACGCATGGCGCATGCCTACAGAATACCCACGGTGCACAGGTCGTAAAGGCCCGGCCCCTGCTGGTTTTCATAGCTGGTCTCAGACCAGCGTCTCAGCGGTGATGCGTTCGTTGGTGGTGCTTGCGTCTCTGTCGGTGCTTCTTGTCCTGGTCTGAATCGCGGGCGCCCGCCATCTCCGCTTTTGTGCAGGCCTTTTCGCGTAGAAATCCCGGGGTTGGGGAGCACAATCTCCTACGAATATTCGCTACATATGCCGGTGAAGCACGGCCATCTGCTCTCGGAGCACGACGAAACCGGTGTGGATAAGAGTGTGCTATTTTTGTTCTTCCTCAGAAGCGAGCAGATCGTCAATCGTTGCCCTGTAGATCTCGTTCTGGTTCCAAAGGTGTGATGAATAGGCTTCCCGGAAACCAAGTTTTGGGGCCCCTGTATCGCGCGGCGCAACTGTGGCCGATATATAGAGCCTTTTTTTCCCTCGTGGAGACGAAGGGAAAAAATGTCGCTCGCTTCGCTCGCTCCGCGGCTCATTATGATCATAGTATGTAGACAATTGAACACACCTTTTTGCCCTGCCCTGATTCCAGCGTTCCCAGCGGGCCATGAACACAACAGGGAAGAAATGATGTGCATAATTTCATTTCGTGTGTGTGTTGTTCCTTGAACGGATGATGATGTACGGTATGATGTGAACACTGCGAGTGGAACATTCTGTGTGGGTGATGGCGGTCCGCGCGGGCTCCCGCACGTGTGCGTGAAACATGAGTGTTCTTTGCAAGGTTCTCTGCCCTCAGCACGCAAGCCTCCCCTTCGGTCTGTGCAGCAGCACCCAGATTTTATCTTCGTCCGCGGAAAGTGTTCCCTCTGCCCTCAGCTCACTAGATGGGCCTGCTACTTTTAGCTGCTTCTCTCTCAGTGGAAACGAGAGCACACCCGACAAACGGACACGCACCTGCTGCGGTTCGTCACCGACACCTCCAAGATACCGGCCGTCCAGCAGGGGGTTCTCTGTCTCCGCGCGCACGCAACACTTCAGCAGGCTCGCACAGCAGCCCATCGCCTTGCCGCCAGCAGGGGCGCTGCGCCCCCCACCTCCTAGCTTCCTTTTCGCTTTGACGGGAAAAACCCTCCTCGCTCCTCGAAGAAGCCAAGTGAGTCAACGCTCGGGGTCGTTCTAGCAAGAAGATGCGTCTTGTGAGGGGTACCTGAGAGATACACGCTTCCCCTGCGACGTTTCCCCCTGCTAACGTCCTAAGCAAGATTCCCAAAAAAGCAAAGCTCGGCGTGCGCTCGTGGGTAAGAGAGGGGGCGGGTCAGGATTTTCAGTTCGAATCCACGGAGCCTCCTGGCACTCCAGTCTGCTCCAGTGTCAATCTCGCCGCACACCGCCAGACAGCAGAGTAGTCAAGTTCAGTGGCATGCGGCATTCGGGACCTCGTGTGCGTAGCTCCGTTGGCCGGCCGCCCCTGGCGCACAACATAAAGCTGTGTCTGGGGAGGGAGAAGCGGGATGCAAGGGCGGCGCCGAGAGAGACTGAGCTGGGCACGGTGAGGGTTCACGGCAGCGAGTGCGCACCAGCCTGAGAACCAAAAGATATCCACCCTCTTCTGCTGTATTTTGGATCTCTTCCCTCTCTCGATCCCACTTATATCTTTGTCTCTACCCACACCTACCCCCCCGCGCGCCCCATGTATGTTGATGTGTTGACGCGTGCGTTAATAAGCTGGCTGGACGGCAGCTGCTCGCGAGCAACCGCTCAGATTCTGTCACACGTTCCCCACACCCTGGGCGTTATGTAGACTATGCGTTCTTGCTGGTTTCGCGCTCTAACACACACATACAAGTCACACGGGCTGCTCCCTCCCCTACTTTACAGCTGACCGAGGTTGGCAGATGGGTCGAGGGAGCATGCACCTTTACAGAACAGCCGATGATGCGATGGGTTCGTGCTCTCCGTGTTGTAGCGAGGGTCACGAAATACATGTACATGTAAATGGAGGCCCCCGCCCCCACAGCTTCTGTCTGTCGTACTTGTCTGCTGTGGAATCGCTAGATTTGTTGCTGGAATGAAAGACACACTGCTGCTGTGGAGGCCAGGATATAGTCTAGACTACCCTTTCCTAAGCTGTACAGAAAGCACTTTAGCGTTGAGAACTACTTGGCAGATATCTAGTCATCCGAGACGACCCCCTTATTGGATATTGGATGGAGTTGGCGGACTGGAGTGCTCTAACCGGAAGTCTAAGCATAGCCAGTCTACAAGTAGTACACAGGCGTACATAGGCGTCTAGACTTAGCACACATTGGAAACTCTAACCGGCAGTCTCAGCATAGGCACTCTACAAATAGTACATAGACGTGTAGACTTAGCACACATTGACAACCTCCTCGAGATATTCAACAAGAGGAGATTCTGTGCGCCTCCGCCGGTGGATTGGTTGTAACACCTCATGGGGGGACTTGCTCTCTGTTTCGGGTACAAGAGGGTAAGGTTCCACCACTGGCTTCTTTTTCGTTGTCCCATTGGTGATATCACGTTTCCTCGTACCGTCCATGTTCCACTGAAAGGAAATTGTATGGCTTGTAGGAATAATGTGTTTGTGTCGACATGCAAGCTAGAGGTACGAGCGGTGCAGCGGCGTTCGACGGCACCGCAAAACACTCTAATAGCTGTCTCAACGTCCTCCGCTGCTGCTTTTGAGACAGCTCGTTGTCGCTAGTGTTTGTTAGCGAAGGCGGTGACCCTTCCCCATCCGGCAGACCGTGATCGATCGTGCCCATCGGGGCTCGATATCATACTCTTCTTCGTTGTACGTGTGTATCCGAGTCGTAGTCTCCTACAGTGCAGCCGTAGCCGTCGTTGCGCGTATCCAATCAGCACCCAACGAGTAGCACGCTGGAGATAAAACGTGGTGGGAAATCTGCTCGGTCACACTTACACCGCGCGTAACGCGTGGGGTCGAAGTGCGAGCGGAGCTCCGTGCAGCAGGGCTAACTCAGCACACCCTGGGGCGCAACAGACCACGGTCTTGTTGTTATTGTCCATACGTAGTCAGCTAGTTGGGAGGCATGATGCCGCGCTCTGCTCTTGTACTCGCTTCGCCAGACGTAGGCCCACGTCATGTGCATTGCAGATCTGTATACATGATACTTAACACGGTGTCGTTTGATAGCACTTTTAATGAACCAGTGGTATCGGCTGACAAAAACAGAAGGACGTCAGTGTCAGCGAGTATTATCACGTTCCCTATGAGGGGGAAAAAGAACTACAAGTCAGCGTCGCCCAGAATTGTGTGAGGGCTGTTACATTTATTCTGGACGTAAGTTCCAAATTTTTCGGCACGTCCTCGGACGATCCGACCGCGGTCGAACACGATGAACACGGTTCTTTGTTAAGGTGTACCGCTCAGGAAAACTTCAAATGACGAAAACTTTGGTAAACGGGTCCTTCCTAACCCTCTCCGCCCACAGAACTTACCCTCTGCAGGGGGACCCTTCTGGACCGGGCAGGGTACCACAGATGATTTGTAGGATCGAGTCCAGGAGGTGTCCTCCAGGCCTATATTTTCCTCTTCTCGTAGATAATGCCAAAGTCACGCGGGAAAAAACTGCGCACACAACCGGGTATCGACGACCGCAAATTAGGAACCTTGTAGTGTACAATTGTCAAATGCAAAAAAAATTATAAATGCGTGCGGGGCTGAGTTCTTCCGTTCACTTTCGTCGTTGCCTCGGCCGTCGGGGAGCGTGGGCGCCTAATAAAGCGTTTTCGTTCAACTCCCACTGAAAATTGAGGTTTCCGGGTGGTCTGCGTCGCATTACACTCACGCACACCACGCACACCATCCGAAAACAACGCCAGGTGATGGCTGAGCTTCGCGGGCTCAAGGCTGACATATACACCCTCAACAGGAGTCTGGATGGCAGCACCATTACTTTCGTCATGGGGAAGGGAGACCTAGAATGGAGAAAGAGCACAGGTGCGGGCATGAAAACAGTCTCTGTCATTCCCACCGACTTCCACAACAGCTGGACTAAAGAACATGACGTCAGGTTGCCATGTTTTGGTGTAGATGGAGTTCGACGTTTCCTTGTGGGTAGCTGCGCAGGAGTGTCCGATGTCGAAGCTGGTTGGCGCTCAGTACTTTTTTTGGGCTGAAATTGTACGAAACCGCCACAACGAGCCGCGCTCGAAAAGCCCATTCGACTCCGACATGTGACACGATGTGGTAAAAAAGAAGCCCACCCCGACTATACAACCCTAGTTCCTGAAGAATTAATGTTTCGTGTATACTATCCCCGCAATCCTGTAGAGAGAGCTGCAAAACGAGATAACCATTCTGTATCGAAACGGGGGTGATCATGTCATTCCAGCTGACCTGCGTGGCCAATGGGAACAGACTGATACAACGAACGCGTGCTCCACCCCAATCGCTGAACTTCGCCACCTGCCGCTGTATGTGCGGCGCCCCACGCATCAGCGTTTTCGTGCATAATCCAAACCGCCTGCCTGAACCGCTACATCCTTCGCTGCTCTTTGCTCCTCACAGCAAAGGCCTCGCTTCGGACGGAACTCCAAAGCTTGGGCCTGTCCCCAACGCCCCACCCTTCCTCCCCTTACGGTAGAACGGGACGAACCGAGGTCCACGATCACCGCGACGCCCGAGCCGAAGTTGGACCCGACCATGACCTAGGTCACTCGAGCGGCGGTGAAAGCGACTGCAAGTTGGAGATACGTTTCCCGCCGCCCCCTCCGTCACAGCAGTGTCACTCGCGTGCGTCCGGCTTTGGAAGTGCTGCTGCTGCGGCCGCGAGTTGCAGCAGCGGCGTTCGGAGGGACTACGGTGGCGGCGTGAAGGATGTCACGCAGTTGGTGCGACGGGTGGAGGCCTCGACGAGAGCCGTGTCGCGAGAGAAAGAACACATCTCTAAGGTGCGGTGCCTCGTCCTGCCAAAGCGTGACTGCTGCACTCGGTCACGTCGATACCGTTTTTTTTGGATGAGTGACCCCTGTGATTTCGTTGCAACTCGATCCGGTGGTTCGATGCTTGAGGCGGCGACTTAAAGTCCTCGTGCGATATTGGCCACGAAAGGAGGGGAAAAGACACACTTGAAATACCCAGCACGCCGCCAGCCCCTCCGCTCGTTTTATGGCGCGAACTTGATCATCAGGGCGGATTCCTCCATGGTTCGTTTCCTTGCTGTTGACTCCATGCTTCTGTTCTGTGCAGATCCTGCGAATAGAGAAAGAAAATACTGCCCGATTACAAGAAGCTCTTTGGCAGGAAGGGGGAACGAAGCGTGAGTGGGAGATGCTCACACAGGTGAAAACCGACGTATCCCCCTTGGCCCCAATGACATGGTCGGTGAAAGCACAACCTTCTCCGTCCCGGGCTATTAATAGAGATGGAGAGTCGATGATCCGAAGGATGCGGTCACGAGCGAAGTTGGGTGCTTCTCAGCCCCCACGTCAACTGCCCTCACCGATTTCCAAAACATTTCGGCCGTTTCTAATATGATAGTGACATGCAGGCGCTCTGTTCCTTGTGGTACGCCGTGTCCGTGCCACGGACACGCCCATCACCACCATATTAGCACCACCGCACTCCGACCCTGTGTGTGTAGCTATGGCAGGCGTAGCGTGCGACGCCCCTCTCTCTGAAATGACCCGTACAATGCCCTTGTGCAGGCCTCTAGCTTGCTCAGACAACGGCTGGAATCGACGGAGCGAATCAGGAATCGGCAAAAGGTACAACAGCAAGGCATCGTACAGCAGTACATGCAAAAAGTCGCGTGTTTCGTGGTGTTCTTCGCTTCTCTTCTCTCTATCCTCGCGCCTCCGCTAAGTTACCGATCTCGTCAAGATAAGGATTGCCGCTTCCACGAGTTCGAGAAGTTTCTTCCCCGTTGAAGGCTATCTTGACGAGACAAGCCGAAAGTATCATTCCCGCAGAACACAAGACTACCGTCTGCCATGCTAGAAAGCATGTCGTTTAATCTTGATCTTCGTCAGCAGCCCAAAGTGCCGGTGCCGTGTATTTCTTGGTTGTTTTCCCAGGAGCTTATCAGAGAGTTGCAAGCTGTGGAGGCCGACATAGCATTTGCCAACGCTGGGAACATGGCGGGACTGGTTTCGACGGACCCCTTACCCAACCTGTCGCCACCACTACCGCCACCACCGCCACCATCATCGGCTCTGCCGCCCACCGCACGACCAAAGAAAGCTTCGTCTTCATCTCTGCTGGCACATCGTCGAAGCAACAACACAGAACGCGACCATCTCGTCGACGAGAGATGCATTAGGTGGTCGGGAGGGAGCGCGTCTGGTAGGGCTAGGACCCCCTTGAGGGGGAAGCAAGCAGAGCAGCGGCGGTCGCCACCTACAGGGACTAAGTCGGCCAAAACTGAAACCTTCCCCGCTGGACGTACTGCTGCTGTGGAGTTGGAGGCCGGCGGCGGCGGGACTAGGCTTGGACGATCAGTGGCATCGGCATCAGTCAGGACAGCTGGTAGGGCCGCCGCCGTGCGACCGGAGCGGCCCCGGCGGAGCGGCGGCCCGGCCGACGGTGCCACGGAGAGCGGCATCGGCGCCACGGGGGCAAGGAAATCGAGCGAGGGAGTGGTGGCAAGCAAGGCCAAGAGAACACAAACGGGACGTATCAGTAGCAGCATCATAGACTCTTCCTCGGCAGACACAAAGGCGAGGGCGGAGGTCAACCGTAAATCGAAATCGGCAGCGACGGCGACGGCGCAGTCGCGGCATAGGGCCGCCACCTCTGCAACCCCAGCGGCGGCACCGTCTCGAAACCGCGTGCTTCGCCGACAGGCATCCACGAAGGCAAAGGTTCGGTCAGGAGCGAGGTTTGGGGCGCCGACGGCAGCGAGCACTGGCAAAATCCGAACAACACCACGAAGGGCGGTGGCATCGTCGAGGGGCCGCGTTGGTGCCACCAAGCGAGCTGGCGACGGTTGTATCCCGTGATCAAGGGCGTTTGCTTGTCGCACAGGCCGAACTATCCGCGGGCGGTGGCGGGCAGCTTCTTCTCGAGGCGACGACAACCGCACTCGCTGATGAACGGCACTGACTGTGGCAAACCGTTCGTACTCCTCCGACATGGGACCGATGAGACCTGGAGATCGATCGTCTGTTGCAACTGCCTTTGAATTAAACTATACTCGCAAAATGAAAAGAGCACAGTGGGCAGAACGGCTCCCCGAGCGGCCCGTCCGGTACACAAGAGGATATGGCAGCAGCGTGCTGCGTTCGCAAAAATGGCCGTGGCATCAGGGAAAAGGATAAAGCACTGCAACAAGACTAGCGTTGCCTGGGAAAATGGCATTTCAAGTGTGGATTGTTCATCTCGCTTGTGCGGTAAAAGAGGTTAATGTTTTGGTTCTCGTAGGCGTGCCACTACAATGATAGAGTAGGTCTATGCTGATCGAAGAAAGAGTAATAACAATCGCAGTTCCAGGCTCGCACAAGGCGATAAACAACGTACAGCAACACGGACTCAGGTGGGGCACAGGACACACCACGGGTTAACCCCCCCCCTTACCCTTTCTCTTGCCCCCCCAATATTCTTGCACAAGAGCAAATCTTGACCGCCACTCCTAGAGCGGAAACACGGGAGCAGGCGACACAACAAAGTCGTGCTAGAATACCATCTCACAGCATCGACGAGCCAAGCTGCCACCCCTAAATAGAAAACAAACCTGACCTATCCTACAGACTTACCAACAGTGAGCGAACGGCAAGCATTGCCTGAGAAAAAAAAAAAGAGCGCTTGGCTCCGCTACCTACCTTCGTCTCCGTGCGCACACCACGTGAATATTTCTACGGGCGTTGATGTACTTGCAGCCTTTGCAAAATCAAGCCAGGAGGGATCACAGCGCACCAATCCTCGACAGCGATCAAGACGAGAGCTACGAGCTACATCCACTCAATCAAGTGCTTAGCCAAACGCATCATGAGGAAGATTCAGCACGTCTTCGGCTCCACGTCCGGCAGCTACACCGTAAATGGTGGCATCCTGGGGTAAAACATGAACATTAATAACAATCTGCCTGCCAGTACGAAGAAAAATTTCCCTGCATACATGCAAACCCACACAACGAACTCTTCCTCATGTCGCCCACCGAACGCCTCTTCCCAACGCCATAGCAGTAGGCCGCGAAATATTTCGCCCCTTCTGTCCCGGAAAGAGAAACGCAGAGCAACCTACCCGTGCCGAAGCCTACTTTATTCTGCATCATCACGCCGTTCGGCTCACACGCCGATCGGGGGCTGGCCGGATGCTTCCGGTACCGGGTCATCCTCGTACTTAGTGGTGTCGTCCATGATGATGTCCTCGCGGAACACAGCCAACATGCCTGGGCAAATGAATAGTGGACGTAGGAACATGGGGAGTTTTACAACTCGACTTGTATCACCAGGCGAGCCGCATCACCTTTGACCTGTCCTTCAACGCTGTTGGGCTGCAATATTGGAGAGTTGCTGCCACAGCACACGTCTTCCGATACCCGGTCCAATAGCTCGTGAAGCAAGGCTAGCAGGCCAGTTAATTCAACCTTGACACTCATTACCTCGGCTAACACAAAAAACTACCAAGTTGCCGAACAGAGCGCCTTCACCCCTCTCACAGCTCTTCCGTCCAAATTTCTCACGCCAATATCAAGTCGCCCCCATCCAGCCCGTCGCGCTTCCCAATCCCAATGCTTGGACCCATTCTTACCCCCTCCCCTCTCCCTTCCGAGTAGACAGAACAAGCACTCCCCTTCTCACTCACCAGCGAAGGTCGAGTAGACGATCCAGAGGAAGAAGCAGAAGGCGGCGAACGCGCGGTCGGCGGGCTTCTCGTCTACGTCCTCGGAGGTGGAGGCGCGGCCGGCGAACACCGCGAAGAGCACGAGCATGGTCTGCGACATGATGATCACCACGCCCAGAAAGAAGCCCACGGCGAGGGATGTTCGGTACTTGCGCATGACGAGAGAGCCTCCGACGGAAAGGCCGATCAGGAGAAGCACCTTTTTGTCGCGACGGGGGGGGGACGGGCGGTGGGCGGCGCGGGGGGGGCGGTCGGGTTTAAGCTGTCCGTTGTAGGAGTTTACATACAGTTTGTTATAGGTCGAAAGTCATGTCCATGTGACTCACTAGGCAGCATTGAGGGATCCGAACACAACGAGCAGCAGGGCCCGGACAACCTGTTCTATTAGGCATGCGCATACGGATGGTTGGAATTGGCGAGGGTCGACAAACTGAGACAAGAACGTCCATGGAGAAATTGCGGCGGTAGGATCGTAATAATTGTGCGTTATCCGTCGCAGTTTGTCGTCCGCAGTTGTCTTACCAACGTCGACATTGAGGGTGGGGATGCACAGATTGTACAGTGAAAAGTAGGAACACAAATCACCACGTTGCAAAGCCAAGCATCCGGAATGAAAAGTCAGCAAGCATGGAGTCACGCGCAGCTGAGACACGCCGGGCGGAGTGTCCGGGTGTAGATGATGTGGCGCACGTGGAACAACAACCATTTAATCTGAACCCAAGGGATAGACCGACCAGCAGCCCTCTACACTCCTCCAGTTGCTGTATCTCGTCGGACCGGGCATCGCGAACCTATTCAAATTCATTGTGCAGCTGGTTAGCTCGGTCATGATAATACAACGACAAAAGAGACAAAAGCAGCGATTCCGTCTATATCTCGGCAGACTCCAATGAACATCCGGTTGTGGTTTACCTACGCTCCACAAGACCACGGGCATAACAACACAATGCAGCCAGCTCTCTGAGGGTAGCCCATGTCGAAAACATGTTCCATCGAAAATCGAAATCGAACTTGGACTTTATTTCGGGCTGGCTCTACACAGCAGTGCAGGCAGGGAATCGAAATCGAAAATCAACCAGGAAGAGGCGACCAAGGCCCGTACAAGCCAGTTGCGATTATTCAAACCATGACCATGAGAGCCACACGGCATCCAAGAGAGTGAACGATAGCTCAGAACAACGGCGATGATCAGGGGGGTCGGGGGGCGTTTGTCTCGCATCGATACGCTACGAACTAAGGGAGCAATATGTGATTAAAACCTGCGTGTTGATGTAAGAAAGCCGCAACAGCTGCCGTTGAACGGCGTCGACAAAGAAATAATTTCACGACGATGACTCCATCTTTCAACCTGGAGCAGATCTCGCTCAAAGAAAGTACACCGTGCTCTAATGGATGTTAGCTTTCTGCCAAGCTATTGCTTGCATCGCCAAGCAATCTGTAGGTGGCCAGACGGTATCGAAATGAAGGCATGTACGATTCATTCAGGGTGTGGCACGCCAGCTTCATGTTCCGGTTGGCATTTTCGACTCTCATTTCAAGTCTCTGTTCGTGCTCGCTTTCGATGTTTCCATATAGGTGAATATTCGCCAGATTGAATATCCGGCGGCGGAACACTGGAGCTTGGTCCAATCAGTGACATTCTTTGTTGTCGATTTTCGATTTTCGACGGAAAACTTGTCTGACAAGGGCCACCCTGACCAGACGATGGATCAATTTCCCGCAAGTACTTTGGAATGGGCGTGAGGCAGCACGTTTAGCTAGAAACAAGGCGGGCAGGTGGGGGGGGG